CTCATTAAATGCAATAAGTTGAGATCTGCTGCAATTTTCGGTAGTTTTACTGAAGCATTTGTCTCCAACATGAGTGGTTGTTCAGATAGAGATGTCCCTCTGAGAAGGACGTCTTCACCCCAGCCCCCTATGCATCCACAGGCCCTGCTGTCAGTGGCATCTCCATCCCTCTGTCCCCCAGACTCCCTCTACACGACTGACAGTGTTTAGTCACCCTGCAACGCTCCAACCCACAGAGGAACTTGTCATCCAGGATGTGTGCTCGACATTGTACACACACACCGAAAAATATAAAACATTTGATTTGATTACCCTGTCAGGAGGGACACAGAAATATATCTAGTGTCAGGAACAATCTGTTGGAGCTTGTCTGCTGCGTGGCCTGTGTGTCCAGTCGTGGCCTGTGTGTCCAGTCGTGGCCTGTGTGTCCAGTCGTGAGCAGCGGAGCAGAAGGTCTCCAGCCGTACATCTGACCCCAGGTGATGGGCTCTGGCACCCTGTCACATAGCATTTGGGTTGGGACCGCTAGGCCAGCGTGGGGCTGGTGGGGTAGGTTGGGGGGCTACAGGGGTGGAGTGAAGCGAGTGAGACCCTTGTAGGCCCCATGGCCATAATGATCCATAACACAGAGGTGGTGGCAGGTTTTATACTGGAGAGAGGAGCGAGGAGGCTAGGTGACTGAATGCACCCTGCCGTCATGGCCGAGGGAGTCATGGTCAGGGGGGTCAGGTGTGTGAGTTCACAGGATGCATGTGTGTCTTGCTTAACATGCTTCTGATCCCAACACTAAAGGGCTCCACGCATGCCTTCTCTAAGAGCAGCAGGTGTCCTGTATGGTGGCTCCTACCACTTCCGTATTCATTATTTTACACATTTGCCATTGTTATCTTGTCTCTGGAATGGGTTTACAGTTAGTAGACTGTAGGGTAGGCAGAGGAGCCCACTTTCACATGGTACTAAGGTCACACTGTGTCACTCAGCCATTGGGATGATGTCACTGGGGCCTACAGGAAAGACAGCTTGGCCTGACCTTGTGGGGGTCACACAGGGCCAGTGGTGCCAGCTGCGCCCCTTAGGTTGGGGGTCTGTCCCGGGGCCCATTCTCTGTCCCGGTGTGTCTCTGCAGAGAGAGGGGGAGCACGGGTGGCAAAGTCGTCTGTTCACTGACGAGGTGACAAGGACCCCCGAGGGCCACCAGAGGAGAGGAGGGGGGCAACCTGCCCACTAAATTCTACTGTTATCCCTCTCTCTCTCTCTCTCTCGGACTGTACACATACTCTCTTTTATATTTTCGATTGAAATTCTATTTATATTCTATTATACATGTAGTAGTATATGATATTGTATATTATTTTGTATTTTTGATATGCTCTTGGAGAAAAGTTAGCTGGCAGGCCCTCATGTGGGTTGCCATCTCTTTCTGTAATTCTGTGTGTGTGTGTGTGTGTGTGTGTGTGTGTGTGTGTGTGTGTGTGTGTGTGTGTGTGTGTGTGTGTGTGTGTGTGTGTGTGTGTGTGTGTGTGTGTGTGTGGGAGGGAGGGAAGGTTCTTTATGGTGTATTTTCAGTTTGCCTTTGATGATGCAGGTGAGCTAAGATCAGAACCCTCCTTTGCATGAAAGTTAATCACGGTGCTGGGAATGTAAATGGCGAGCATTCTCTGTGTGTGTGTGTGTGTCCCTCCCCCCCCCTTTGCCCCCCACTCCGTGTCTGATTGAGGGAAAGCAGGGGCCGGCGTTCAGCAGTAATCATCCCAGCAGGGGTCCCCATCGGATGCAGTCCTGTCATTACATTTGTGTTGAACACCGGCCCATTTAAATGTCAGCCTTGATGGGCTGCTATGTCTGCAGAATGCCGACGAGGACTTAAACACCCGGCAGAGAGAGCAGGACAGCTCCCCGCCACCGAAAAAAGTGATCTGATGAGCAGAAATTACCTTTTAATTACCCAATTCTTTAGACTTTCATAATTGTTTTGGTCACACACACAACAAATGCGAGGCCTGTAATTTGAAAGCTATTTTCGAGATGAGAAAATCCTCGGCGAGGAGATTGGAGGGTGGAGGGAAACAATCATGTCAGTGGATTTCCTTATAGAAAATCCAAATTGCTTATTAGAATGTTGTGGAGTGTTTACAATATGCGGTTTAAGTGTACAACTGTATAACAGAGGGAAAACAGGTATCTGTGTGTCCTGGTATCAAACACTGGGATGGACATGTTAAAACGCATCTCTTCAAATGTATCAGAACATGCATGGTCCCATTAGATAAGAATCCATGTGGAGATCAGCATTATTCCACAGTGATGCCGGGATTGTCCATCATGTGTCTCTATGTGTCCACGAGGCTGCCATATTCTCCCTAAATGTGACAGTCAGGAGACCAGTGACCGACAGACAGAGAACAGGCAACACAACTCTCTTAGGAAGCAGGAGACATTTAGAGAAAGGATGTCCCTATTGAATAATTCACAGCTGGGAGTCATGGGGTGCACTCTCACACACACACACACACACACACACACATACACACATACACACACACACACACACACACACACACACACACACACACACACACATACACATTCACATACAAACAGAGACATGAGGGCCTGAGGAGTAGAATGACATTTCTATGATAACACTCTACTACTCACCAAAGAAAAAAAAGATACATTCTCCTTCAAAAGACAACATCATATTCTGTCTCAAATCAAAAACACATCATACCGTATAGTCACATCAGCATAGCTTTCCCATAGCTTTCCCCATGACAATTAGCACTGTCAGATGTTAGCCATTTCCTCATGGGTAAATCCGTTTTCAATCAAAATTCAATCACGTTTTGACAGCATCCCTTTCCATACATGTTTGCCCATGGAAGAAGTGGTCATAAACTGACTTTTTGGACCTGAATGCCAAAACATTCTGGAGATAAAGGTGCTCAAAGTTGACTCATTTTACACCCCACCCTACCATGAGATATCCAGGTCTTCATCACTGTAAAATATAAACGGTTGAGTTTGATAGCATTTAAATGTCTTTAATAAAATGTAAATGATCTAAAAATGTCTATACTCCCCATTTTTTTCATATTCGCATATGTTGTAGCTTAGACCCTATTTCACATCCTCTGAGGTTTTTGTGTTGTGCCCGCCATCATTTGAGAAACAACATGAATACAGGGTGGGTGACATTTCAGTCATAGAAATATATTTAATAGAATGGACCTATCCCTTCAGACCACTGCAATTTAGCTGGTACACCATTGATATTTAAATGTAATTTCAGTTTTTTATTTCTAATTACTACCACAAAGATGGCCGCCGGTCCACCCACCGTCGAATGTCAACTTAAATTGTCATGTATTTTCTATTATAAATATTTCTAGGATTTCAATAGGTTTCTTATGGAGGATTGACAGTATAATTTAAAACAACAGATATTTCCCGAGTGGCGCAGTGGTCTAAGGCACTGCATCGCAGTGCTAGCTGTGCCACTAGAGTTCCTGGTTCGAATCCAGGCTCTGTCGTAGCCGGCCGCGACCGGGAGACCCATGGGAAGCCGCACAATTGGCCCAGCGTCGTCCAGGGTAGGGGAGGGAATGGCCGGCAGGGATGTAGCTCAGTTGGTAGAGCATGGCGTTTGCAACGCCAGGGTTGTGGGTTCGTTTCCCACGGGTGGCCAGTATGAAAAATAAATAAACCATGTATGCACTCACTAACTGTAAGTCGCTCTGGATAAGAGCGTCTGCTAAATGACTAAAATGTAAATGTAAATGTAATTTCCATTCAAGTCAACATTCTCTGGTATGTGTGGGCCTCCAACCATCTTTGTGGTACCATTTGAAAGTAAATTCTATTCTAATTGTAGTACATTTATCAGCCAAGACATGACACCCACCCTGCATTCAAGAGCATGTTGTGTCTCAACCGATGGTGGGAACAACACAAAAACATTAGATGACGTAAAATAGGGTGTAAGCTACAACATATGTGAATTTGAAAGAGTGTATGTGTTTCTAGATAATTGACGTTAAAGGTTAAGAAATGACATTTTTATTTACAGAGTTCAAATGTACTCACACTCAAACCATGAAAAGTAATAACTTTATTTATATTTTAAATCCAGAAATTATCAAATAGTTTGACAACCCTGTTTATAAGCTTTTAAATTATATAAATCTCAACCATCATTGTTTGGTGGGGCAAAATGGGTCAACTTTGAGCACCTTTATCTCTTGAATGTTTTGCCATTCAGGTCCAAAAACGTTCACTTTCTGAGCACTTCTACAATGGGCAAATATGTATGGAAGGTTTCATTCAAATCAAAAGAAGTGCTGTCAAAAAGTGATTGAATTCAAATGGATTTACCCTGATGTAATTTGGTGCAGTGTTTTGTTCTACAGCAGAGCAGAGCCATTTTGGGTGCATAGTGTCCCTCCCTGTTCAGTATAGATAGGCTGTCTGAATTGACAATGGTAGAAGTATGATATGGTAGATGTCACAATGTGTCAAGCCAGATCAACATTGCAGGGCAACGGCTTTCGGAATACAATAGTAGTTCTATGAGGAAATTTTCCCCTGAGGCAAAGTTTACAGAAACAAAAAGGCAGAGTGCAAAGGAAGGACACATGGAAAGATACACAGAGGACGAGGAACAGATAGACATATATTTGAGATAGATAGAAATAACTTTTGTTGGGGGAATGTGCCACATATTCCATAGAGTGTGGTCTCCACCTAGTGGACAATGAGAGAAATAGCGCTGCTCTGTTTTGAGTTACAGCAAATACACATCACATTCTCTGAGGGCTCCATAGTATTGTGCAACAATATATCATCAGCAGAGCTTATGAATGCAGGTCTCATTCAAAGGAAGTGGGGCAAGCTGTCCAATCTGGACATGACCCTCCACCGCAGCCCTGTGTGTGAATGCCGGGGGCTGGTGGTGGTGTGTTTGGTCTGCCTGTCAATGCCAGTGAAATGAGCAGCCAGTGATGGCTCTGAGGCTGGAGGTCCCCTCCCTAAGGCTGCTATGGGCTAGGGAGGCTGCTGGCCACCCAGTCCCATCTACCCTGTCTCCCAGCACCCCAGCCCCATGTACCCTTCAACCCAGCCCCAGGGTCCAGTTTGACCGCCCACCACTCCACCGACAGGGTCCAGCTCAGACCCCATCTGTGCACTGGTTTCGTGACCTCCATGCGTGGCTCTTTGTCACTCTAAAAATCTATTTCAGATGCATTTCATTGTAAGGACAATCATCATTGTAATAAAATGTCTTACATAAGGTTCTGTGAATATCCCTATGTGTGGTCCTCTCTGTCAGATGGGCCATCAAGCAGGAGGGGCTGAGAAGAGCAGGCCAATGGAAGCAGTCCAAGGTAGAGAACCCAGAGTGGAACAAGCTGACCTACATGTGGCCCTCTCTGCCCAGTGGAGAGCTCAACCAGGTGAGCCAGAAGGAGAACCCTGGTACATTTACATTTTTAGGTTTGAGTCATTTAGCAGACGCTCTTATCCAGAGCGACTTACAGTTAGTGAGTGCATACATTTTTATTCCCCCCCGTGGGAATCGAACCCACAACCCTGGCATTGCAAACACCATGCTCTACCAACTGAGCTACACATACATTCAGTCCAGTGAGTGCTAGTCTCTGAAGGGTCCAGAAAAAACATGTAGGCCTATATCAAAGCAACCCAGACAGCCATTGCCAATGGTCCACACCACAGTGCACTCTAGTTAATATGTGTGTGTATTGGCTGAGAAATTCAATACAGCAAGGTCTTTCTCTCTCAAAGAACCCAGGCTGTTAGAACGAGGAGCAACATGCTGACTGACTGTCAGAGTGGATCTGTGTTGTTGTTATGCCATGGCGTGTCTCCTCTGTCTGCAGGATCAGATGAGGCAAGTCGGACAAGAACATGACAGGCTTGTTAGGAACTAATCGGTCTACTGACCACAACCACTGACTGACATGTTTACATTTTACACTCAATGAATAGAGACTAACAAATGTTTAACAGGTTGTTTTATCATGAAATCGTATAATGGTATAAATGCAATGTGTGTGTGTGTGTGTGTGTGTGTGTGTGTGTGTGTGTGTGTGTGTGTGTGTGTGCGTGTGTGTGTGTGTGCGTGTGTGTGTGTGTGTGTGTGTGTGTGTGCATGTACGTGTGTGTGTGGGAGTCGTAGGCCCATTGTAGTGTAAGATATTCAAGATATCCAGCTTTTGTGCAAGCTTAACTTGCATTGGAAGTGTAGTTTGCTATTTCATATGCACTGACAGTGTTGGGATACACCAGAGGGAGAAATGGCTTCCCGAGTGGCGCAGTGGTCTAAGGCACTGCATCGCAGTGCTAGCTGTGCCACTAGCAATCCTGGTTCTAATCCAGGCTCTGTCGTAGCCGGCCGCGACCGGGAGACCCACGGGGCGGCGCACAATTGGCCCAGGATAGGGTAGGGAATGGCCGGCAGGGATGTAGCTCAGTTGGTAGAGCATGGCGTTTGCAATGCCAGGGTTGTGGGTTCGATTCCAACGGGGGGCCAGTATGAAAAATAAATAATGTATGCACTCACTTAACTGTAAGTCGCTCTGGGTAAGAGCGTCTGCTAAATGACTAAATAAATAAATAACCAGGCTACTTTATACTTTTGAATGCCCCTGCAGGACCTGAGCTGGCCACTGGAGGGCGCCCTAGTCCCCTGTGCGCCGCGGCTGACTGACTCCAACAGGAGATGGCGCTGTTTCTGCCCTGTACCACTGAGACTGAGGGAACTGAGAAACGGACAGGGGGTAGAAAAGGCCAAGGCCATAACTGTTACAACACCCAACCTCATACTGAACACTCGGTGAGGACAATATCCTCTCAGTTCTTCTACATCCCTCCTCTCTGACACTGACAACCACATCTTAAGCATGTGCATACATCTCATTCTACATCCACTGTAGGCAACACAATATTGTCAATTACAGTTCCATTTTAAATATTGTATAGGATACCGTGGTATAGTAGCATCAGTCAAAAGCCTGAAGCATCTGTAAAGTAAGTCGCTCTGGATAAGAGCGTCTGCTAAATGACTAAAATGTACATGTAAATCATAGCGATAGCTGCACATTTAGTAGGGGGCACACTTATGGTTCTGGTTTAGACCAACTTATGTTCTCACAGCTGGATTTTACACATCCTGAGAAAGATCCCTCAGTCTCAAATGAGATGATTTATGCAGATGTATTAATTTAGCTTCAGATCATATATGTATTAGCACATTAGGCCTGATTCAGCAGTAAGGGGAATCTCTACTGTTCACTAATCATTTGGAAAGAATGCATAGCCTTCAACCCCCACACAACCCACCAATGAATGCTCATTCGCTCAAGGTAAAGTCAAGCCTGAAATTGGAGTTTCTGATCCAGGAATATAATTTGTACCTCCTAATTAACTCAATCAGTTCCCCATCTTTGGAGCAAAGTAAATAAAGCTGCCCTGGGTTCCCGTGTACAGATGAGCACATGCAGCCTGCCTGACCTTTGACCTTTCTGTCTGCGTCAGCCTCTCTCCTTCATTACGGGCTCAGGCCTGGAATCTGGGGCATCATTTGCATAAGTTAATTCCTCGTTATGATCCCCCTCGCAGCCGTGTGAGGCCAGGGAATAGAACTGATTATGACTCTGTTTCCCTCCATTCATCTGTGCAGTAGGAAGCCTCTCGCCAGCACAGCACAGAGACTCAAAGCAGAGAGAGGCGCCAGCAGGGAGAGTGAAAAAAGTAACAGGGCAGAAATCCACAGCCTTGAGTTTCAGCAGTTCCTTGAAAGGTAAAACCTCAAGTTGAATTGAAATATTTTCATGAAGAAAAAATCAATTTCATTTCATTTCCCCTCGTGGTTGGGAAGGGTAGAACAGTACAGTCAATCTAAACTGTAATGCTCTCTCCTCAGGTGCACAGAGTCTCTTCATCTGCCTCACGCTGCTCACAGGCTCTTCCTCACAGACGGCAGGGAGATAACTCTACTCAAGATCTGATTCCAGACCAGCTGGTATTGAAATCATACTTTTGAATAAAAGTTTTTAACTTTTAACTTTTTAATTAAAGGTTAACTCATAAGTCAACTTTTTTGACAAAAATTTGAACTCATGTATTCTTTCCTCTCTATGTCATTGAGGTGTATGTGTCTTGTGGGGAGCCGTGGGTTAACCCTCATTTCAGCGATGGTAAAGTCACCAAACAGCGCCAACTTCTCCACCTGGAGCAGGACGTGTCCCAGATCCGCCACTACTGCACCCTCCGCCACCAGCATGGTTGGTACATCCCAGAAGACCAATCAGCACTCCTAAAACATGCGTATGTCCATCAATGACAATGCATTCTGAACTGTGGCATGTCATTAGGCCTACACATTGAGGAAATAGTATGAAAACAATTCTACTCTCTTTCTCTGCGTAGATGTGATGTGTGCGGTAGAGTCTTATGTTTCCTTGCCATCTCCCCAGATATGGTACTGGAGGTAAGAGGTGATATACAGGAGGGCTCTCTGCTCACTGTAGCCCACTGTTGTGTTTTCTATGAAGAGCAGAGCCAAGAGTCAACGCAAAAGGAGGACAGCACTGATCATGATCGTGCTCACCTCAACAGGCTTATGTGAGTCTGTCAGTAACAACTTACAAGGCCATTCAGGTCCACTCTCTGATCCTGCATACCAAAAATGCATAATATGTCATATGTCCTTCCATTATTGTCTTGTAAATGTGTTTACTTTCATGAAAATAAGTCCCTCCTTCAATGTCTAGACATCATGTGTGCTTTTCTGTTTCAGTAGGGACTCGCTCTCAAGAGCTCACCAGAAAATAAAGATGTGCCCTACTTTCATATACCCTTGGCAAGGGAACCACGAGGAAGATGAAATACAAAATGTTGTGGAAAATAGCTGCAGTAATACTGACCAACCTGCTAAGAACAGGTTAAGCTGCTTTAAACGAACATACAGCATTTGTTTCTGTGGGGTTGCATAAGGAATTCTGTTTCGCTAGCACCAGTGCTCCATTGTTCTGGATTTTCATGGCATTGTGTGTCAATTATTTATTCTTTCCCTCTCTGTGTTGTTTCTCTCTAGGTTGCAGCAGCGTGGTAGGGGCATCACACAGGCTCACAGACAGCAGTTTGAGTTCAGTAAGGGACAGATAGTAAACTGCAGAAACCGCTGTCTGGCTGTGGGGGTCGCTGGCCATGGGGAAGGTGGGGTGAAAGCAGGGTCACCCCTCCAGTTGGTGCGCAGTAACCCCTCTTACTCAAACCAACGTTGGACACTGAATGAGGGAGAGAGGTAGGAGAATGGACCCCATGTGAATTGATACTAATGTCAGAGCGTGACCCTGTCTGTCTATCCTCCCACATCACACTGATTAGTTGACCCCCTCTGACCCTGTCTAGGGCACTGTACTGTGCCTATGAGATCCAGGGACAGACACAATGACAGGGTCAAAGGTCTTTTCATGTTCTCGGAAGCCATAGGGAAAAGTCTATGAAAGTAGTTGATATAAAGATACACAGTTTACATGTACGTTGTTTTGATTATCGTTTGTCTCCTCACACAGGACTCTTCATCTGTTGGCCAACCCTGAGCTAGTATTGTCTGTTTCCATGACTACAACCCCCCCAGGAGACTCCTGCTCTGAACCCCCTCTCCTCACAGGCTGCTCTGTAGTCCTACAGGTAAGACTCACTGACAAGCAAAGGAAGTCAACAACATCAACAATACAGGCAATGACATACTTCAAGTAACATGGTTTTATCTCTTCTATATACTGTATTTTCAGAAATACAAGCCCTACAGTTACGGAGCAGCCAACCAGAAGTGGGGCTGGTTACCAGAGCTTAGGGTTCTGAGTGCGTTCTACACCTCATCTCTGGACCAGGAAGTGACTGCAGCCAATCAGGCGTCAGTGTGTACCGCCTGTGTGTCCCCAGAACCACTGCACCAGCAGGTATACCAGAACCAGTCCAGAAGAACTACTGTAGCACACTGTACTTATCCACCTCACTTTTTCTGTGCATTCATTTCCTACCACATTATTACCACAGTGTTAGGTATACCTATTCTGTTTGCTGCACACATTTAGTGTGTTCTGTGGTTTGATGCACTGTTTATAAGGATTGTAGGAAGATTATAAAGGAGTGGTACATTTTGGATACTAGCTGTACATCCTCCTTTGCTTAGATTGTTCTCTCTGAATAATGCTGTGTCTGTACAGTATCGCATACTCTCTGAATAATGCTGTGTCTGTACAGTATCGCATACTCTCTGAATAATGCTGTGTCTGTACAGTATCGCATACTCTCTGAATAATGTTGTGTCTGTACAGTATCGCATACTCTCTGAATAATGCTGTGTCTGTACAGTATCGCATACTCTCTGAATAATGCTGTATGTACTATACCAGAGGAGATTGGTGGGAGCTGCTGTAGGAGGAGGGGCTAATTGTAATGGTTGGAATGTAATTATGTAACGGAGTCAGATACGTTGTTTTCATGTGTTTGATGTGTTTGGTACCATTCCATTGATTACATTCCAACCATTACAATGAGCCCGTGCTCCTATATCTCCTCCCACCAGCCTCCTCTGTACTATACAGTATCTCATACTGTGCTCTGTGGGGGCAGGGTTTCTCCTTCACCAGGTCAGGTGTGAGTGGGAGCAGAGTGGAGGTGTGTCCTAGCTGTTCCACTGGACTGAGAGGGAGAGGAGTTCTCCAGAAGCTTCCTCCAGAATCCTCCTTCCTATGCTGTATGGCCAGTCACAACCACCAGCTCAGCCCAACTGGACCCTTCAGGATCCTAAAGGTCCACAAGGTAGTGCAACCTGAACTCGAGGGTAGGCATAACATAGCAAACGTAAATCTGTCTCCCTCCATTTAGTATGATATGGTACGTTTCGTATGGTATGTATTCATTTGTGGATGTCCATCATCCGTTTCGTATGCTATGTTAAGAATTACAATTCATATGGTATGTTCTGAATTGGCATTTGTATAATATGTTACACATTTCAATTTGTGGTGGCTAACGTTAGCTAGGGTTAGGGGTTAAGGTTAGGGTTAGGGGAAGGGTTAGCTAACATGCTAAGTAGTTGCAAAGTTGCTAATTAGCCAAAATGCTAAAGTTGTCTATGATGTGATTTCAACACTCAACCTTTGGGTTGCTAGACATTCACGTTATACGCCCACCCATCCTCCCCAACCAAGTTTTTGGCTTAAGTAACCTTCTGTCTTATGTAACCATACCCAACGTAACATATCATACTCATTTCATTGTCACAGATTTACTATGTTACATCTAGTCTTTGAGGCCAGGCTGGGAAGTTGAACATCCAATATCCCCCTACAGCATTCCCTGAAATCAAGTGGGTTTGAAGTTCATTATCCAAGGCAGTGCAGATGGCTGCATTGGAGTAAACACGTTCTCCTTATGAACCCCCAGGAGAGTGTGTGTACGTGTATGTGTGTGTGTGTCTGTCTGTGTCTGTGTGTCTGCATATCTGTCTGTGAGGGACTAAGACTCCAGCTGTGTCCTCCTGCAGACGGAGCTCAGTGAGTCTGCAGCAGACGTCACTCTGCAGCGTCTAGAGGAGTGTCTGGAGTCACTGAGGACGGAGGCTGCAGTGCTGCAGAAGCAGACGCCGTCCCCAGAGGTGTGCAGCGCAGCCCGGACCCAGCCGAGCGTGAAGATCCTGGCCCACAGGAATGGGCGGGGGGGCCTAGAGGAGGGCCAGCTGATCACCACGGCAACAATGCCTCTGGTGAGACACCACAGGGTCACTGAAACAGACAAATAGACAATGTTTTACTTTGTTGTTTCCTAGGTGTACAGTATGAATTGAATGTATGAGTTTCTGTGTATCTGTAGTTGTTGTCAGAGTGCACCAGCCTGCTCCAGCTAACCAGAGCTGCTCAGCACCTCTACACTGCAGACGGGACTCAGATACTCACCCTGCATCAGCTCAAAGCCTGGGCCCTTAATGACTGTCTACAGGTCGACACAGAAACACACATCCCTGGACCTGCAGGTCTTACTGTCCACCACACACACACACACACACACACACACACACACACACAGAGAGGTTAGATTACCTTTCTGATAACCAGTATCTGTTGACCTTTGACTTTTGACACCGACCTCTCCTCAAACCTCAGGTTCAGAGACAGTGTTCAAGGTGGGTGCTGAGGACATGAGCTCTGTAGATGAGGGTCTAATGGCACTAATACTGAGGTCCCCCATCCATGTCTGGGTGTCCTGTGGAGAGCCCTACCTCCCCTCAGATGGTGAGATGCACACACACACACAATGGTGCTTGCATTTTCTAAGGGAATTTTATATTATGAAATTGGATGTACAGTGGGGAAAAAAAGTATTTAGTCAGCCACCAATTGTGCAAGTTCTCCCACTTAAAAAGATGAGAGAGGCCTGTAATTTTCATCATAGGTACACGTCAACTATGACAGACAAATTGAGAAAAAAAAATCCAGAAAATCCCATTGTAGGATTTTTAATGAATTTATTTGCAAATTATGGTGGAAAATAAGTATTTGGTCACCTACAAACAAGCAAGATTTCTGGCTCTCACAGACCTGTAACTTCTTCTTTAAGAGGCTCCTCTGTCCTCCACTCGTTACCTGTATTAATGGCACCTGTTTGAACTTGTTATCAGTATAAAAGACACCTGTCCACAACCTCAAACAGTCACACTCCAAACTTCACAATGGCCAAGACCAAAGAGCTGTCAAAGGACACCAAAAACAAAATTGTAGACCTGCACCAGGCTGGGAAGACTGAATCTGCAATAGGTAAGCAGCTTGGTTTGAAGAAATCAACTGTGGGAGCAATTATTAGGAAATGGAAGACATACAAGACCACTGATAATCTCCCTCGATCTGGGGCTCCATGCAAGATCTCACCCCGTGGGGTCAAAATGATCACAAGAACGGTGAGCAAAAATCCCAGAACCGCACGGGGGGACCTAGTGAATGACCTGCAGAGAGCTGGGACCAAAGTAACAAAGCCAACCATCAGTAACACACTACGCCGCCAGGGACTCAAATCCTGCAGTGTGAGACGTGTCCCCCTGCTTAAGCCAGTACATGTCCAGGCCCGTCTGAAGTGCATTTGGATGATCCAGAAGAGGATTGGGAGAATGTCATATGGTCAGATGAAACCAAAATATAACTTTTTGGTAAAAACTCAACTCGTCATGTTTGGAGGACAAAGAATGCTGAGTTGCATCCAAAGAACACCATACCTACTGTGAAGCATGATGTTGGAAACATCATGCTTTGGGGCTGTTTTTCTGCAAAGGGACCAGGACGACTGATCCGTGTAAAGGAAATAATGAATGGGGCCATGTATCGTGAGATTTTGAGTGAAACCCTCCTTCCATCAGCAAGGGCATTGAAGATGAAACGTGGCTGGGTCTTTCAGCATGACAATGATCCCAAACACACCGCCCGGGCAACGAAGGAGTGGCTTCGTAAGAAGCATTTCAAGGTCCTGGAGTGGCCTAGCCAGTCTCCAGATCTCAACCCCATAGAAAATCTTTGGAGGGAGTTGAAAGTCTGTGTTGCCCAGCGACAGCCCCAAAACATCACTGCTCTAGAGGAGATCTGCATGGAGGAATGGGCCAAAATACCAGCAACAGTGTGTGAAGACTTACAGAAAACGTTTGACCTGTGTCATTGCCAACAAAGGGTATATAACAAAGTATTGAGAAACTTTTGTTATTGACCAAATACTTATTTTCCACCATCATATGCCAATAAATTCATTAAAAATCCTACAATGTGATTTTCTGGATTTTTTTTTCTCATTTTGTCTGTCATAGTTGACGTGTACCTATGATGAAAATTACAGGCCTCTCTCATCTTTTTAAGTGGGAGAACTTGCACAATTGGTGGCTGACTAAATACTTTTTTTCCCCACTGTAAATAAACGTATAGTAATTTCCTTGCTCCTTTCTCTTACTACTACAGCACATTATTCCATCCTGTTTATTCTTGTTCAGTTCTTTTCTTGCCTGTGGGTGAATCCTGACATCATTGCCCTGGGGAGGCCCAACCCAGACGAGACGCCGCTTCATTTAATAACACATTTCATGCATGGCCTGTAATGGCGAGATGCTAATGAGACGTGTGTTTTGCTGCCTGGATGATGACTTTGCAGATAATGTTCTCTTTGCTTAAGCCTTGTACGAACTCCAGCAGCAATTAGAGGTTTGTAAATCACTACATATTTCTATACACATAATCATGGTGTGTGCGTTATGTTGCCTCCGTTGTTAGGAGAAGAGAGAAGCTGCAGAGGGCTCTGTGGCTCCAGAAGGAGAGAGTACTGACTGATCTGGAAATAAAGAGACACAAGATGAGGCACCTGAAAGGTTTGCTCTGCTTTCTATCCATCATGGCTGCTGTGGCTTCATGAAATACAGGGAAATAATGCATATTTAATGGCATTTCAGTGAACATATTTCAATTCTGTATCATTTGAAAATGCAGTATCGTGTGGCTAGCCTGATCTACCATCCTGACCTAACCGTTGTGAATCCATGTGGCGAAACCGAATGTAAGCTCATGAGATCAGGATGGTCGAACCAGGCTATCCCATGTCCACATCATGTACTATGGGGGAATAAACTATTCCGAATAGTGCATTGAATTAACTAGATTTGCTCATTCAATGACATTGCAGCTCGGTTAGTATAGGTAGTGTTCTTCCTTGTACGCATGGGTACAGTCTTGGGTGTAGAATGGCCCCTAACAGTGTCCCCTCTCGACGCCTGTGTCCACCCAGCCCGTCGTCTCTCCAGAACGGGCCCAGCCTCCCTGGTGCCAGGCCTGTGGTCCTGCCAGGCCTGTGGTGGTTGAGCAAAGCTGGCTACAGCCCAGCCATGAGGAACTCACTCTGGACCAGGAGCTGCACAACACTGCGGTATGGATGTACTTGTTGTACAAATAATAATAATACTTGCACTTTTCTTTTGCTACTAACACTGTCTTTGCTGCTAACTTTTTTATTGAGGAGAAATGTACATACTATGACTGTGATATGTGGTTGTCTCACCTAGCTATCTTAAGGAATGTACGGTACTTAACTATAAGTCGCTCTGGATAAGAGCATCTGCTAAATGACTAAAATGTCAAATGTAAATGTAAAACTGTTGTACTGCATCACTGGTAGAGACTCTGAGAGCACTCTTCTGATATAAGCATGGTATTGATGAGCATAATAGTAGCAGGGTTTTGATCCTTCAGAGGTTAGATAGTAACCTTATTATCGTTAATAATCCCTTTTTTCTTTCCAGACTCAACTTGCTGAGATGGAGGCCCTTCCAGAGAAAGACCACAGGCCACTTCCACAGAAGACCTCCCAGGAACTGTACCATCAGCCTGATGTCAAAAGAGTTAAGGTGTACCACAATGGAGACAGGCATGTATCTGTCCACGTCTGGGGCCAAAGCATCGAAGAGGTACTTCCTCCAAATAGAGAGTCTGCTAAATGACTAAAATGAATTTCATGCCACAGAATAAAAATTTTTCACAAAATATAGCTAGCATGTTACAAACAGCGCCCCATATATCTCCTCAGTGACTCCTCAGATCTCCTGTGCGTTACTATATTTTTCAGCTGCTGAGCTGCAGTACTGTGAGGCTGGCCCTGTCCCGGTCCGCCTCCAGGCTGTACGCTGCAGACGGCAGGCTTCTGAGCTCCTGGGAGGAGATCCACAGGGACATGCTGCTGTGTGTTTCATCAGGACAGCCCTTCATCAGCCCTAAACGTTAGCAGGCCCTGGTTCACCTCGAACCTCGAACCCCTCCTACTGACTGTCACACAGAGAGTAGGGATTATTCTGATGTTTTGATTCATAGAAAGAAAGTGAAATACATTACTGTGGATTGCTAACTTATACAGATATATTTATATGAGCATTTGGGCTGTCTTTTCTCCCTGTCCAGATTGTAAGGAAAATATTGAGATGAGAGCTACCTTTGCTCAAATGATGAGATCTCAAGACCCTGGTAATACCACAACAGACAGGGGACCAAAGGAGCCCCTGACTACCACAGTAAGAGAAGAGGAGAGTGGATAACTGTACCAGGGGATTATGCTGCTAATGGTTATATAGATTATTCATATTTGTGTACTGTCTTTTTTAGATTCCATGTGGCTGCCATTCTCTACATTGGACTGCAGAAGCATAGACCTGATACAAAACAACTGTACTATGCCTGATCAAGATTGGTATTATCTACTGATGTTGGACTGTCGCTATGTTCAAGCAATTCCCCATGGGACAGTAACTACCAGGAAGTGTGTGATGTTATATATTCACCACTAGTGGGAAGCAGTGGAATAAGCGAGTAATTTATGATCTGTGCAAAGTCTGTGCTGAGTGTGTGAATCATTGACCTTGGCTAAGAAATCTTGAAGTCTGTTTGACCTTTAGGGAAAAGCAGCCAACAAGTGCTCAGCATATGTGGGAACACCTTCAAGACTGTTGGAAAGGCATTCCAGGTGAAGCTGGTTGAGAGAATGCCAAGAGTGTGCAAAGCTGTCATCAAGGAAAAGGGGTGGCTACTTTGAAGAATATAAAATATATTGTGATAAAAAAAAAAAAAAATTGTTACTACATGATTCCATATGTGTTATTTCATAGTGTTGATGTCTTCACTATTATTCTACAATGTAGAAAATAGTTAAAATAAAGAGAAACCCTTGAATGAGTAGGTGTGTCCAAACCTTTGACTGGTACTGTATATGTATGATGATGATACAATTGAATTCTAACCATAATAAAGTCTGAACACTATTCGGAACCAAAGAGGAATAATGTATGCTTTGTCTTCTTTGCAGATTTGGCTGAAGGAATTTACTGTAAATACTCCATACCCTTCTGTAAGCTCGAGTTGATTTCAAGTTTCAACATTTATTTGTCACGTGCACAGGATGATACAGCAGGTGTAAAACAGCACAGTGAAATTATTTCTTGAAAGCTCTTTCCCAACAATACAGTAATACAAGTAATAATATAGATACGAAACACACACAAGAAATACGAGTGAATACCTGGTGAAGTGACTGTTGATTGCTGTATGACTGGATACTAGTGCCTCAACAGCGCCCCTAGAGCCACGTTATCTAATGAAGGACGACGATTTGATACACCTCCATCCTATGCAAAATGGGTGTGGCTTTTGATTGTAAAGCATCTCTGTCCTGAAGTATGTTACCTAAGCATTTGTCAGCCATGCTTCAAATGAACAGCAGATGGCACTAATGCACCAGATTTCCATTAGTGTACCACCAAAGCGAAGTACACAGTAGGTTGGCTACCTTCCTACCCCAGTACCCTTTATTGCTGCCCATCTCTGTAAACTTCTGATTTCACGCAGAACAACAGCTGAGCTGTGACTGCTGCAGGCAGCATTGTGGGTAATGGTGTGGAGATTTAGGGCTGGTAATTGGAGGATTACAGTGTTGAGCGAGAACAGAAGTGGACTGTTTACCCCAGCTTTACTCTGTGCTTACATGAATCATCTGCCGTATCTATTATTTATCAAACAGTCTCTCAGATCATTGGGAGTGTTCTCCAAAGTAATTCCTGACATTATGATTCAGGTGCTGTCTCTCTATTTAATTACTTGTAAATCTCAAAAGATTAAATGTTCTTTTCATGGCTTGCATTTATTAAATAGAGGTTAAATGAGAGTTAAGATTGAGATCTTAATCTACTGACATTGCAGACACATGCCATTTATTTTCAGCTCTTGATACAGTAGGATGTAATAGAAGGCTTTTTAGTTGGATGTTATGATGACCATTGAGTCCAGTTGCGTGCCCTATGCACCTCTATCTCACCCACCACCAGCACCGTTTTAACCCCACAATTGATATCGTTACTCCTGATATCCTGATCTGAACATCTCACTTGCGTTCCCACTGGGCACACAATGGTTGAATCAACTTTGTTTCCATGTAATTTCAATGAAATTATGTTGAACCAACGTGGAATAGACGTTGAATTGACGTCTGTGCCCAGTGGGATTGTGATGTAATCACTTGGAGACAGTCGGTTAAAGCAGGTTTAGTTAGAGCACCCAGGTAAAAAATAGCAGGCGGAGGCACGGTGACCTTGGTTTAGATTAATGCCAGCTCTACTAGTCACATTCCGGACAAAAGTTGTATAATCTGGAAGAACCTCTAATCCCACCAAACCAATGAAATAAGATCAATCAATCAATAAAATGTATTTATAAAGCCCTTTTTACATCAGCAGATGTCACAAAGTGCTATACAGAAACCCAGCCTAAAACCCCAAACAGCAAGCAATGCAGATGTAGAAGCACAGTGGCTAGAAAAAACTCCCTAGAAAGGCAGGAACCTAGGAAGAAACCTAGAGAGGAACCAGGCACTGAGGGGTGGCCAGTCCTCTTCTGGCTGTGCCGGGTGAAGATTATAAGAGTACATGGCCATTTAAGGCCAGATTGTTCTTCAAGATGTTCAAACATTCATAGATGACCAGCAGGGTCAAATAATAATCACAGTGGTTGTAGATGGTGCAACAGGTCAGTACCTCAGGAGTAAATGTCAGTTGGCTTTTCATAGCAGAGCATTCAGAGGTCGAGACAGCAGGTGCGGTAGAGAGAGAGAGTCGAAAACAGCAGGTCATGGACAAGGTAGCACGTTCGATGAACAGTTCAGGGCTCCCTAGCCGCAAGCAGTACAGTTGAAACTGGAGCAGCAGCACGACCAGGTAGACTGTGGACAGCCAGGAGTCATCAGGCCAGGTATTCCTGTGGCATGATCCTCGGGCTCAGGTCCTCCGGGAGGGGAGGGAGAGAGAGAGAATTAAATTCACACAGGACACCAGATAAGACAGGAGAATTACACCAGATATAACAGACTGACCCTAGCCCCCCGGCACATAGACTATTGCAGCATAGATACTGGAGACTGAGACAGGGGTGGGTCTGGGGGACACTGTGGCCCCGTCCGACGATACCCCCGGACAGGGCCAACCAGGCAGAATATAACCCCACCCACTTTGCCAAAGCACAGCCCCCACACCACTAGAGGGATATCAACAGACCACCAACTTACTACCCTGAGACAAGGCTGAGTATAGCCCACGAAGATCTCCTCCACCGCACGAGCCCGACGGGGACAGGAAGATCACGTCTGTGACTCAACCCACCCAAGTGACGCACCCTTCCTAGGGACGGCATGGAAGAGCACTAGTAAGCCAGTGACTCAGCCCCCGTAATAGGGTCAGAGGCAGAGAATCCCAGTGGAGAGAGGAGACCCGGCCAGGCAGAGACAGCAAGGGCAGTTCGTCGCTCCAGTGCCTTGCCGTTCACCTTCGCACCCCTGGGCCAGACTACACTCAATCATAGGACTTACTGACGAGATGAGTCTTCAGTAAAGACTTAAAGGTCAAGACCGAGTCTGCGTCTCTCATATGGATAGGCAGACCATTACATAAAAATTGAGCTCTATAGGAGAAAGCCCTGCCTCCAGCTGTTTGCTTAGAAATTCTAGGGAAAATAAGGAGGCCTGCATCTTGTGACCGTAGCGTACGTTTAGGTCTGTACGGACAAAATCGTAGAAATAGGTAGGAGCAAGCCCATGTAATGCTTTGTAGGTTAGCAGTAAAACCTTGAAATCAGCCCTAACCTTAAAAGGAAGCCAATGTAGAGAGGCTAGCACTGGAGTAATAGCTGAAGTTTATTTAGTGCTTTATCCGGGTAGAGTAGAGCATTGCAGTGGTCTAATCTAGAAGTGACAAAAGCATGGATTAGCTTTTCTGCATCATTTTTGGAGAAAAAGTTTCTGGTTTTTGCAATGTTACAAAGACGGTAAAAAGCTGTCCTTGAAATATTCTTGATATGTTCATCAAAAGAGAAATCAGGGTCCAGAGTTACACTGAGGTCCTTCACAGTTTTATTTGAGACGACTGTACAACCACCAAGATTAATTGTCAGATCCAACAGCAGATCTCTTTGTTTCTTGGGACCTAGAACTAGCATCTCTGTTTTGTCCGAGTTTAAAGTCAAACATTTGCCACCATCCACTTCCTTATGTCTGAAACACAGGCTTCCAGGATAGGCAATTTTAGGGCTTCACCATGTTTCATCGAAATGTACAGCTGTGTGTCGTCCGCATAGCAGTGAAAGTTGACATTGTGTTTCCGAATGACATCACCAAGAGGTAGAATATATAGTGAAAACAATAGTGGTCCTAAAACGGAACCTTGAGGAATGCCGAAACGTACAATTGATTTGTCAGAGGACAAACCATCCACAGAGACGAACTGATATCTTTCCGACAGATAAGATCTAAGCCAGGCAAGAACTTGTCCGTGTAGACCAATTAGGGTTTTTAATCTCTCGAAAATAATGTGGTGATCGATGGTGTCAAAAGCAGCACAAAGGTCTAAGAGCACGAGGACAGATGCAGAGCCTTGGTTTGAAACCATTAAAAGGTAATTTACCACCTTCACGAGTGCAGTCTCAGTGCTATGATGGGATCTAAAACCAGACTGAAGCATTTCGTATACATTATTTGTCTTCAAGAAGGCAGTGAGTTGCTGCGCAACAATTTTTTAAAAGTGGAATGGGAGATGCGATATAGGCCGATAGTTTTTTACATTTTCCGGGTCAAGGTTTGGCTTTTTCAAGAGAGGCTTTATTACTGCCACTTTTAGTGAGTTTGGTACACATCCAGTGGATAGGGAGCCATTTATTATGTTCAACATAGGAGGGCCAAGCACAGGAAGTAGCTCT